TCCATAATCTGTGTAAATAACGCGTAAAGTAATCAGAGCGCACAGCAAAAAGAGGCTGGCGTAGGCGGTGCTGTGAAGCGCGGGGCGTTTACGGAGTGCAGCAGTTGGTGCAGGCAGGGGAAAACGGGTTTTCTCAATGTTTATTTAACCTTGCTACGTGCATCAATAACAAATGAACGCACGTACATACATACATATGTATGTATGCATGTGTGCACATATAGGCATAGGAATGTTAACATTTTATTGCTTCATCATGGCAAAAATGGCCCAAACCAAAACAACTTACTTGTGTCTCCCACGCCCACCGTCAAACGAACCGGTTAAGAGCGCTACCGCGAATAGTAAAATCATTGAAACTTTCTATAATGTTATGAATTGTAAGTTATTTTTGTTCGGATTCTCGTCTAGCTATTTATTACTTGCGCTCGCATTGTCACATACTATGTACAAAATTTGTTGGCAATTAGACATAGTAAGATTTATATTTACGGCGCAGTAAAGCTTAGTGGTGTTGCTCTACGGCGCGTCATCCGCTTAATTTTGATATCGCCTCTCTTAGGCATTGCTCTCTTTGGCCGCTCAAAGTTCCTAGAAGAGCCTTTGCCGCTTTCGATAACAATAACGATAAGCCGTAGCTCGCTTAAATGCGAACTCGCACACATGCACACGAATACTAACATGGACTTTAACATTCTCTTTACTTTGTTTTTGTTTTGCCTTTTTTTTTGCTTATCTGTATGTGCAGGCAGCGTCAACGACTCCGGCGGCGAGAAATCACAAGCGCTTAGCTTCAGTGCAGCGCAGTAAGAGCAAGAGAACAGGCGCAAAGAAGGCAACGAGAGTTGCCTGCAGAACAACAACAAAAGCAACAAGCGAAGCCTTTTGTGCAGGCACGGCCAGAGACGCTGACAGCAATCGTCATCGAAAATCGCAGCAAAAGCAAAAAGAGCAGCAGCCAGCAGAGATGACGTCACGTGCGCGCCACTGCGCCTGGCGGCTTAGTATTGTCATTCTGGGCGCTTGCTGCATAGCCGCTGGCGTTTATCTTCTGCGCAACTGGATTGAGATATTCACGCGCATGCGCGGCAAGGTAAGCTGCATATGAATATTTGTTACATGATTCTCGCATCGTCGCGTTGCCCGGCATTTCTAATCGCAGTCATCCTAATTACATCAGTCATTGCCCGCCGATCGCCATTGGCACGATAAGTTCCATCTCTAGCCATAAGAGAGTCCAGCTCTCTCACATGTCAATTTGCCGAAACGATGAGAGGTCAACTGAATGTGAACCCTGCTCATTAGCATACAATTAGTGTTGCAAGGGCGGCGGGAATGCGGGGTTTGGCTCACCACTTGTCGTCTCTCTTCAAATCAATTGGAATCAATTCCCACAAAGACAGCAAGAATTGAGTGTGTGCAGGTGTTCGAAAAAAAAATATTAAAAAAACCCTAGATAAGATACATTTTTTATGGCCACATTACATTTTTTCTATATTTTGGCAACTGACTAAGAATGCTTAGTTTGGAAGTTTTGAACAGCTGGCAACGATGTGGACTGATATATCATAATCGTTAAGTGACATGATTCACTGAAGCAGCTGCAGCTGAAATCGGATCGCTGATCATTTTTCGCAATTATGCTAACAACGGAAATATTTACGTGTGTGTTGCCCAGACAAACAAGAAAACAAACAATTCGAGTTTTTTCCGTAACAAGTAGTTTTATCTTATCTCAAAGCGTACTTATCAATCGCGCTGACTACCATTGGGCGATTAGAGCTGAGAGGTCTGAATCGACCTTGTTGTTGTTGTTGCTCTTTTCTGTCTATTCAGTTTTTACGGCTTGCATTTCCCACAAAGCGAATTCATAAAAGGCTTTACTTTTGATATTAACTCAATTAGCCCTTGACCACAGAACACCTGTTTCATCGATCTATATATACTTACCCATATGACATGGGCAACAAATGAAATAAATTTATATTTGTGCATATTCACACGTGCCATTGCCGCAAAACATACCTCTATCGCCTTTTTATCAGTTGCTCATTTCCTGAACCCGAAACACACACACACACTCACGAAGAGCAACAACTTTCAATTCATGATTATAGTTAAAAACTTGAATTTCAAAATGGCCACCGCGGATTTGTTCTAAGTGGTATACACCTAGAATCTAACTATACGATGATTACAAGTCGTGATGGATTATTGATGGCCCATCAGCCTGGCATTGCTGATAACACTAGACTCACATGACATTTGACTGGACGATTGGAAAATTGCATAGATAGCCAACAATGTAGCCAGAGGTTGTTTAAAACATTTTCAAAGCACACGCAACTTCCCAGTAAGGCTCAAAATGTTCCTCCCTGTGCGACTAATGTAGCAGCCGTTAGAGCTTAGAAAATAATTATAACATATCTGTTATGTTCCTTAAACTGAGCCAGTTAAGTCATGTGAAAATAGTTTCTGGTAGTATCAGGCTGGTTGCAGTTAAGGATAATTATTTGTAATTGCTTGACTGAGAAAAAGAATTACAATGAATTACCTTCAAATGTAATTAAACACTGCTGTGAATATTAAGTAAATGAACCATCTCTATAATTCCATATTGCAGGAAATGGCGCTCAGTCCCACATCGCCAGCGTTTGAGAGCTGGAAAGTGTCGCCGTTGCCGCTAAACTTTGATGTTTATTTATTCAATTGGACAAATCCCGAGGATTTGTACGAGGGCTCAAAGAGGAAACCGCACTTTGTGCAACTGGGGCCCTATCGGTTTCGAGAGAAACCCGACAAGGTCGACATCGAGTGGCACAATCACAATGCTTCGATTTCATTTCGGAAAAAGGCATATTTCTACTTCGATGCTGCGGGCAGCAATGGTACGCTCCAGGATATCGTCACCTCGGTGAACACAGTGGCTCACGTAAGTGTATTAATAACAATAATAATAAGTGAATAATAGTAATAAGTGAATTCCGTTTACCATAGGCGGGCGCCAAACGTTTAAGCGAATTGAACACGTTGTTTCAATTTGTGGCGTCGACCACGCTGAGCTCCACACAGGAGGTCAGTGAGACGCGGACTGCAGAGGAGTGGATATTCAAGGGCTTCGTGCATAAGCTGGTGACTCTGGGTAAATTTATTAGCCCGGAAAATGTGCCGTACGATCGCATCGGCTATCAGTACGGCCGGAATGGGAGCACCAGCTTTGATGGCGACATCAATATGTTCACTGGCGCTGATGATATTCGTAAAATGGGACAAATCCATTCCTGGAACAATAAGACACATACGGGCGCTTACAGTGGAGCCTGTGGCAACGTTATGGGCTCCATGGGTGAATTCTTTCCTCCCAATTTGAACACCAGTGACCCCGTCTACCTCTACATGCCCAAAATGTGCCGAGCCGTGCCGCTGGACTATACGGAAACAGTAACCATCCATGGCATCACTGCATACAAATATAGTGGAACTCGGCACGCCGTAGACAATGGCACAATGTATCCGGACACCAGTTGTCTGTGTGTGGATGGGCAATGCTTGCCGGCTGGTGTTATTAACATCAAATATTGCAGCTATAACACGTCCATCTTCATGTCCTATCCGCACTTTTATCTGGCCGATCCCATATATCTGGAAGCAGTGGATGGACTGCAGCCGGAGAAGGAAAAGCATGAATTTTTCATGGCCCTGGAGCCAAACGCTGGTGTGCCCATGGATGTAGGTGGTGGATTCCAGGCTAATTATCAAATGGAGCCGGTGCCGGGCGTCGCGTAAGTGTATATTGTATTACTTAGGCAATGAAAATGAATCGAAATTAATCAGAAATTATAATTTTAGACTTTATGCGCGTGTGCCACGCGTTTTGCTGCCCCTTATGTGGGCTGAAGAGCGAGTGCGTGTCACTGAGGAAATCGCTAGCAACATTGGTTTAGTTCCACTCATAGTAATGCTGGGCCAGGTATTTACGGGCATTCTCTTAGCCGGCGGACTAATTTGCACCTGTTGGTATCCCACGCGCAAATTGACGAGTCTCTGCCACAGCGACGATCCCAAAGCCAAGGCGGCGGTCCTTCGGCCGCTTACCTCAATTGCCGTTGGCGCCGGTGCCACGGGAGCAACGTTAACTGTGCAGCAGTTATTCCGCCAGAATCCCAGCCACATCGAGCGCGTGGGCGTACGCCTGTTAGATTACAGACGGAGCTCAGGGATTGAAGATGGCGATGACGGAAGTAGCCACGGCAATACCTCTAGAGATCGCCTGATTGAGGGCTGTTCAACAGATGTGATAATTAGCTAACGTAATACATAAATCGTTGCATCCAGCATTTCTGTCGATGCTATATATATATGAATATATGTATATCTATCTACCTATATGTTGCCTTAGGGGAGCCAAAGACAAGCACCGCGCCAAGTCTCGCCATTAAGACTCAACAGACCTTAGTTAAGAGTTGTTAGTCTTTAGTCGAGTTGCTTAATTCATAACATTAAATACATTAAGTCCACCACGTTCCACACACATAGAGTGACACTAGAAATAGAGACACACACATCATGCTCACATGGTTTCCTCAGTCAATAGCAGGAGTATCGAGAGAGATTGATAAGATTATTTATTAATTAGTGCCAAAAAGTGAAAGAAACCCCAAACAAAAGTCATTTAACTATTTTAGTAGGCTAACTTAACTCTGTATATAAGTGATTATCCTAGGTTGATAGCCGCCAATCCCAATGTTAAAATTAAAACTGCGCACGTCCAAAGTATTTTTATATATTATA